ATAAAATTTAAATTTTCATCGCATATTGTTTGTGATTTATTTTTTTAGAAGACTAGATTGGGCTATGAGCCAACGAGTTTAAGCTATTTCATGTGACTCATAAGCGACGAAGATCGTTATTTCATCAATCTATGCTAACGAGTAAACAATGGTAAGTGTTTTTCAATTTTAAATTTTATACATAAAATATAATTTATTTTTAAAATTTTTTTTAATGATATCATTATTTCGATTATGTAAGAACGTGTTGAGGAGCTCATACGGAAGGCATGTTGCGATGCGAGTAGGTGGAAGGAATCTTGGAGCTAGAGGTTGATAAGAACACTTTATACCTTGAGGTCAGTAGGGGAGAAAAAGAAGAAGGTATATGGTGTAAGCACATAGGTAGTGCATTATCTATCCTAGTAAGGTGACAAAAACTCCTTTTCTATGTCATTGTATTATAATAATGACATTTTGAATGAGGAGGTTCGAAGGCGATACGAGGAGACGAAGGAGGCGATGAAAGGGATGTAGGTCAAATAACACGGCTACAAAACCTTATCATGAGTAGAAAAATACCTTACATAGGCTTAATTCTCGGTATGAAACGACGACCACCATGTTGATTAGGTCGGCACGGACATCAACGTTGCCTATAGATCCGTCCACTAGTTAGGACTCCATCGTTCCTCCCATAGAGCCTCCTGCTCGGCCTCCCATCGAGTCCCAAGAGGATGATGGGGGATTAGATGATCGGGATGGCAATCGGAACTAACAATTCATTTTTTATTTGTTTTCTATTCTTTCATATGTACTATTGAATCTTTTGTTTTTTGTTAATATTAATTTATAATTTTGAAATTTTAATAATACATTGTTTCTTCTAATTGTTAATTACTATCGAGAATATCATTAATTTAAAAACAAACAAACTAAATATAAAAATTTTATTTTCTTAAAAATATATTTAGTGACGGCACTAGTGTCGAATTTCCAAGCCGATGGTGATGGACTTGCAATGAATTTGTTTAACATTCGGTGATAGATGAGCGATGGATGGTAGTAGCTTTGGATATTAGCAATGGCATATTGATCATTAAATAGCGATGACACTAGCAACAGAATAGCAATGCTTAGTATGACGATTTGTAATGACCGATTTAGCAATGTACATTATCCGTTTGGTGACGAAAATTTCGTTGCTATATTAATGATGAATTGTTTTTTGCTATCACTAATGTTAATGACTAGCATTTTAGCAATAAATATAATTTCCACTCGCAACAACATCGCTAAATGACTTTAATGATAGATTTTGGCTAATTAGCGATGCTAATTGCACTTTTCTTGTAGTGATGATTGATAACCGCCTTGAATTTGAAGTTGGATGCGAACAATTATTGGTAACTATCCCCCCATTTTCTTTAGATGTGTTGCCTCATCAAATTTGACTAATTGTAAGACTAAACGCATCATTTTATTTTAGTCTTATTGTTTCGTTGAAACTTAGATTGTTATAAGACATATCGTTTTATTTAAGTCTCAATGTTTCATCAAAACTTGGTTGGTTATAAGACCAAATGCAATGTTTCATTTAAGTCTTATTATTTCATTGAAAGAGGATACCATACTTGATCGATGTGTGGCTTTTTAAATTTTGAGGTGCCAACGATAGGTTTGCAATAGTTTTTCATATGAATCTCTAATTTACATGTAATATTATTTAAATAAGATAATATGTATAGAATATAATTAATAGTCAAGTACTGATTAAATTATTATTTATTGGAAGATAGAATTTGGTTGTCAACCTAGATATATATTAACTGAGAAAATTTCCAAAGACAATAGTGCACATGACTATTTTATTTCTTGCAGAATTTGCAGTACTTGAATTAACAAGGTTTTGCTCAATATTGGATGAAAATTGATCGATGGCTGTTTCATGCTACGCTAGTAGGATACTGCCAATGGTCGTAGAATTCAAATTTGGTAGTTGTGCATGGCAATGAGACCCATAACTGCTTTAGAATTTGCTTTACGTACTGGAGAATTTTAAACTTGTTTTCTAGAAGTGGGATGATACATCAATATAAAGATTTTGTCCGATTTCAAGAGATTCAGGGTTCGAATTTCATTTTTCATGCTTTTTAGACCTGCTTCTCTGATTTTAAGAATATCATGAAGATCTTATAATCTTCAATTTAAACAAATTTATTTCATCAAAAGTGGTTAACAATAATAAAAAAAGATTTTATAATTAGTGTCCACAGTCACTCAATTACATACCCTGCTCACATGTTTATCATTGACATTTCATTACCTAGTGGCACCTCACCATTCACAAGTGTTTGGTCTATGGCTTCTCCATGCCATATTAACTGATTTAGTACCCTAGTTATCAAATATGGCTGTATCCAACTTAATTTTGTATAATTGGATTGATAGTCTTAAAATCTCAATGTAACTTCAATTCCATTAGACATTACAATTGTTATTTCCATTTATTTTGCAATAGCTTGAGTTGACATACAAAAAATTACCTATAAGTTGCAGTTGACGTACAAAAAATTACATTTAAGTTGCAATGTTGTTTGATTTTCTTAAGTGATTTACATTCCATTATGTCGTAGGTCTTCACCTTATAACAAAAATTGAAAAGAAGAAGAAGAAGAAGAAGAAGAAGAAGAAGAAGAAGAGATTAAAGGATGTCATCTTGAATTTTGATCTTTATATCCTTGCTCGCTTGAAAGTAACATTCCATTATTTTGCAATCCTTTTTTTTTTTTTTTTATCATTCTAATACTGTTCCATTATTTATTTAAATTGAACGTTGATGGTGGCTGGTAGAACAAAATTCCAAGCATTGGTATTTGTTTTTTTTGGTTAATAGTTGCATATTCATGTCCATATATAGAGAACAAATAATTAATGCCTTCATAATTTTTATTATAACATTTGAGATTCAACAAGGATTCCATAGGTTCCATCTTTTATGAACAATCGATGCAAATTCACCAATCTTACAAATATGCAAGAAGTCCATATTTTATAATAGAAAACTAGGTTATTGCTCACACTACATTGTAGGTAGAGCCTCATAAAAAAACAACATAAAAAACATTATAAAAAATAGAATGCTTAAATATATTGAGATATGTTCAATAACTATGTAATATTTATTAGAAATCAAAGTTGTGTACATAAATTTTTTGGAATGCATTAAAGCTTTAAAAATGAATTTAAAGTATCACTCGTTACATGATTACAAAAATATTTGCATATGAATAAGCAATAGTAAGATTTTAATTACGTGCACTAATCACTAACTTGAATGAGAATCACTCCATACACCTGTCATTAATTTGAATGAGAGTCAAGAAGGGTAAATATTTACCTCCAATTCTATAAAAACAAAACTAAGAATTAAAAAGAATTAAGGACAAACTAAGCAAAATTCATGCAAATAGAAAAAGAAAAAAAAACATGATATAATCGAAGTCCTTATAAATAACACGTTAGAAAGACATTTATGGATGCATTAAGCAATGTCATCTCAAATAAAAATGCAACTCATTTGCCAAACACTGCACAAGTTTTAGCAATCAAACATAATAATGTAATCATAGTCATGTGTAGGCAATTCATTGTAATGGTGAAAAAATAAAAGAAATAGAAACAATTTACTTAAAATCTAAAATTTAGAGTTAGCACAACCACATTAAATTTTATGCATTTAGAAGTTTAAGAGAGACACTTAAATGTGGAATTTTTTATTATTTGGGCAACTCACAAAAAAAAAAAAATTACAGCATTTGCTTCGAAATTGCATCACTTTCTATCCATTCAAGAAGGTGAAACAATTGATGACAATTAGAGAAAACTTACCTAGTTGTGAACACATAAGTGAAGCAAAGAACTATAATAATTAGAAGCAACCACAACCAACAAGTGAAGTTAAAATACCAATATGAATTATAAAAAAAATCATCTTAGTTATTCTCAACAAAACTACAACAATGCAATCATTCAAACGAAGCAAAACAATAGATGTATAGAAAGTAATTGAAAAGTTGAAATCAGTTTTCTTTACATGGCTACAAGTTGTAGAATTCCTTGATTCTCTTCGAACCATGAATAAGAGGCCTTCCTCTATCTTCTTAAAAGCCCGAAACAACAATAACACATGCAAAATTCACTAAGGAAAAAAAAAAAAAAAGACCATAAGAAAGCAAAATGGACCAAAAGGAACATATGAAAAGACAAGTTACAAATTGAAAAAAGTTCTACATCATTGAAGACTTAAATCACAACCACCATGTCTCCAAACCAAATATAACTCCTCCATGTCTAAATCAATTAATTAGAAAATCAACGAAAAAAATCTTATCATAATAAGAACTAGTCTCATCACCACAATCAAATTAAGAATTTTTTCTTTTTTCTTTTTGTAAAGAAAAAGGCCAAAAAAACTAACAAATGATAATTAGTCATCAACAACATAAAACTAATAAAGTTCAAAAAATTAAGAGCAAAAAAAGTAAGGGTTTATCCGACATTTGGTCCTTACAGTTTCAATTTTTTTTTATTGAGACCCTCTATAATTTTTTAGTTTAATTAAAACCCTCTACTCTTATAAATTCATTGATTTAGACCTTCCGTTAACTATTTATCCTATGTAGCATGTTAAAATTAAAGGTAACCAATCATGAACGAACATGTGGCATAATAGGTCCCAAGTATCACGATATTTTGTTCAAAAAAAAATTAAAGATTTTTATTATTAAACTATCAATTGATTATAAAAATAAATGGAAAAAGATGAAAGTCCCCCTTTTATTATCAACACCCAAATCAATTTTGATCAACAAACATTGTTCTTCTCTCTCAACCCCTCTCTTTAACATTAATTTGTAAATGGAAAAGGTAATTTTACGCTATAGACATTACAAAGCACCCTCCATTACCACCGACTCGCTATAACTTCAATTTTAAAAGCCTTCACCGACCACCGATCACTAGCCACCCATCATCGCTGCACAACCATCCTTGCTACAACTCTGCAGCTTCGAAACCCACTCTCCACAACCCCGAAACACCTTCATCCCGAAACATAAATCAGCAAAAATAGAAGGAAAGAACTTTCAATTCAACAAAATTTGCTTCTAGAGAGCCCAATCAAGTGACTCATTAAACATGTTTCACGGTGATTCTCTCATCTTAACCAAATCTCCCATCATCAATTGCATCCTCAAAGTCGTCGATCACAACAAGTAACCATAGCACCTAGCTTTTGAAGATTTACATCTTTAGTATCATGAGTATCGGAATCAACAACATCAACAATCGATCCACCTAGATCTTGATGTTGTTGCTGAGCATCGATCATGAGAGCTCCTTGCAAAACTTCAATCAAAGTATGAGATTTGCACCCAATAGCCACTCTTCTATCACGAACATTATGGAGTCAACATTAGCCTCTTGTAAAAGTAACGAAGGGCTTTGATGTGATCACTAAACCGAGTCAGTCGTCCTCTTGACTGGATGTGATTGTGTGTTGATTTGGGTGCTAATAATTGATCAATGTGATCGAGAGAGAAGAACAATGTTTTTTTTTTTTTTTTTTATCAAAATTGATTTGGTTTCGAGGGGTGGGGTAGGGCATTTTCATCTTTTTCAATTCATTTTTATGTATACTAATTAATAGTTTAATAATAAAAATCTTTAAATTTTATTTTTGGAATACGATGATACTTGGAACCCATTATGCTACGTGTCCGTTCGTGATTGGCTACCTTTAATTTTAAGTGCCACATAAGATAAATAGTTAACGAAGGGTCCGAATCAATAAAATTATAACAATTGAGAGTTTCAATCAAGCTAAAAAATTATAGAGGGTCAATAAAAAAAATTAAAACTCGTACAAATATGAGGTAAACGCAAAAAACTAATAAAGCACAATATAATAGTTCTCTATCTCATTTAAAGCAACTTTTCGAGTAACTACAAATAGAATAAAGAAGTTGAAACACAATCATAGTCATCATTCACACATGCACAAATATATAAGAGAAAAAGTCCAAAAATAAATAAATAATACAATCTTAAAAGAAAAAAAGGTTAATAAAAGAGAGGAGACAAATCTAGAAGGATGACATGATAATACAACAATCAAAATAGCAACGAATCGAAATTAATAATTGATCAATAAAGGTGATAAAAGAAATTAAGACTCATAAAAGGAAAAAAACATAAAATACATTCTCGGTAAATCAATATACCCAATCAAGTAAAATTTTCAAGAATTCCAATTAATAGAAGCTCCATATCTAATTGAAAAGAAGTATCAAATCCATAGCAAACGGTAAAGAGCAAGATAATAGCAACAACAATAATAATAACAATAATAGGGAAGAAAAATACTAAAAACACACAATAAAAGCATACATACTCTACTATAAATGTTCTTTACATCCAAAATAGGTACCGACTACTTTCCTATATAATTGTTAGCATTAATAGTTCTTAATGAGAATTTGTATGATGATCAAGATATAAAAGTTTGTATTTGATAATATTTTTGTTCTCTTTGGGTTAAAACAAGAGAGAGAGAGAGAGAGAGAGAGAGAAATAGGAATGAGAATATTATTTGATTGAAGAGAGGAGGGATCCGAGATTGGGTTGGTGGGTGTAAGGATAGTGATAGGTTTTGAAAATAAGGCTGCACATGTGGCAATTATTTATTGCTTGAGTAGATTACATCTTATCTCTTTTTCAAGATAAGGATGTCATGACAATCATTTATTAATTGAGCCGATTAAAAAAAATGACAAATACACAACTTGCAAGACTTAAAAAAGACAAACAAATTTAATAGCACACACCAACATTAGAAAAAGCATGGCTAAGTAACGAGATCGGATCCAACAAAGCAAACAACAACACAAAAGCAAGCATAATCGAACGACAGAGTGACAAGTAAAGAGACGAAGAGTCCACTTGAGTCTTGATATATAGTAACAATGGGTGTTGATCTATAGTAAATGAATAATAAACTATCCAATTGTGGTTTGTTTATTGTTGTTGTTGTTTTTTTGTTTTTTGTTTTTTTTTTTTGGTAATGATCTACCTAAAGACATTCTAACCCTTGATCATGTACACCCTTCACATGGGCTATTGGGTATAAATGCCCTAGGATGGTCTTTAGTGAAGGGAATTTTTTTCCACCTTCACAACGTTAGAAAAAGCATGGCTAAGTAACAGATCAAATCCAACAAAGCAAACAACAACACAAAAGCAAGCATAATCGGACGACAGAGTGACAAGTAAAGAGATAGAAAAGTCCACTCGAGTCTTGATATATAGTAACAATGGGTGTTGATCTATAGTAAATGAATAATAAAGCTATGCAATTGTGGTTTGTTTGTTGTTGTTCTTTTGTTTTTTTTTTTGTTTTTTTTTTTTTTTATTATTATTTTTTTTCGGTAATGATCTACCTAAAGACATTCTAACCCCTGATCATGTACACCCTTCACATGGGCTGCCGGGTATAAATGCCCTAGGATGGTCTTTAGTGAAGGAAATTTTTTCCCACCTTCACAACACACATATATATACTTTTTTTGTTCTTTTCTTTTCTCTTCCATGCTTTAGCTATCTAAAAGCCTTCTATTAGCAACCATTTGAGTCTCTTCTTTATTTTGCAGGCCAACTCATTAGTTAATCAATCAACTTGGACAGCTTAGATTCTTGGACATCATTAGTGGCAATGGCTAGAGGAAACTTGTTTTGAAAACTAAAGTCCGACCGCAACAATGGCTAATAATTTCAATAATCAATATTTTTATCTAATGATGATTGCTACGTACGTTACTATATTTGTCACTGCCATTGCATCATTGCCTAGTGGCTCCACCCCGATCACAACTGTCCGCTTGCCTCTTCCCCCTGCACTTTGATTTTTCACAGCAATGGATTATGGCTGTGCAGATGTAAGTCAATTTTATCGTACGACTGCTACTGAATTTATGTTTTTTCTTTGTTCTTGAATTAATAAAGAACATAAATTCAATTTATGTTGATTTGATTTATGGCTATAGAATCTAAATTTTAATTCATTTTTCAATTAACCATAGACAATATAATTGTCATTTCAATTTATTTTGCTATTGCTTGAGTTGAGACGCAACAAATTAACATCAAGTTACATATTATGATTTCACGTGGCTTTTTGAATGCTATTATTTAATTAGGCACTAAATAGCATATTGTATATATATGGACCTCATATATATATAGACCAGGAAAATAATGTCTAATCAAATTATATAAAAAAGCAAGAACAGTAACCATCCACCCTCAAATAAGAAAATGATAGAAGTAAAGAATATTTTCAAACATTCATTTTATAGGGAAATTAACTCCATACATTCCTCTAAGTTTTTGCTCAACCTCTTGATCTTATCGGTTTTTTATCCTATATATCCTTGAGGCCTTTAGTTTCTACCCTATTTTTCAGCCCTCTTTTGATAGGAATTATTCTATTTTAACGCATGGACTTCTTCATCAGTTATCTTATATATAATCTCATCTACTGATTTCAGCTTTCATCTACTAAACCACCAACACTTTTGCTCACCTTAATTATCACCATTTTTCTGTATTATTTTTTTCATTCTTATCTATTGAAAATTGTTTATTGATGGCATCCAGGACAAAACTGAATTTGCTGGTATTTCTTTTGTTAATAGTTGCATATTCGGAACAATATGGCGTCCATGGAGAATCAAAGGTGCCTTGTTATTTCATTTTCGGAGATTCATTAGTGGATAGCGGTAACAATAATAACCTTGAAACGAAAGCTAAAGTTAATTACCCACCGTATGGGATTGACTTCCCAAATGGTCCAACAGGAAGGTTTACTAATGGGCGAACCACGGCAGATGTAATAGGTTCAGTTTTCTTCTCTATCTCTATTAATTGTTATCGTACTACTACTACTATTACATAGTTTCCAAGTAGAAGAGGTCTAGAAATCATTCATGGTATGTCTGAGTTACAACTCTGTGATTAAAATTTGTCTAAATCTTATGTTGAATTGTTCTTCTAAGGCGTAGTAAGCTAGCTCTTATATGGATGTTTGCCCTAAAGGTTGCTGTGTATAAAAATCATGGTAAGTGAACAGTTTCTTCCTACAGGTGAACTTCTTGGCTTTGAAAATTTCATTCCACCCTTTCAAAATATCATCGGCTCAGACATACTCAAAGGTGTAAACTACGCATCTGGTTCAGCAGGAATCAGACAAGAAACTGGGAAGATAATGGTAAATTAGTTATAGTACTTGTGCATTTATTTATGAAACCATATATATGAACTAACCTTAACCAAAAAAGAGAAAAATTTTGTTTGCAGGGCGCTAACATTGAATTAGACAAACAGTTGGAGGACCATCAAATTATCATTTCACAGATAACTGATATGTTAGGAAACGAGTCAGCAAGCAACTACTTGAAGAAGTGCTTATATTCCTTTGTAATTGGCAGTAATGATTATATGAACAACTATTACCTAACCCAATATTACAATACAAGCAGTCAGTTTACTCCAGAGAAATATGCAGAAGAACTTGTTAAACAATTTAGTCAACAAATCATGGTGAGTATAAATGCTATAAAAGTTACATAAATGCATTTATTATTCATCTACGTACGTACATTTGGGATTAGTATTTATTATATGTGCTAAATGGAACATCTAAGTAATAACTAACGTGATATATTTATTGTTTGCGTAGACTCTGTACAATTCAGGAGCAAGGATTATGGCCTTAACTGGAATCGGACCCATTGGCTGCGCACCACATTCCGTTGCTACATATGATACAAATGGCTCATCATGTGTTGACCATATGAACAAAGCAGTACAGCTTTTTAATACCCAACTCAAATCACTCGTAAATCAATTGAATAACAACTTAACTGATGCAAAATTTGTCTACTTAAACACATATGGAAACACGCCAAAATCGACTGCTTCTAATTTAGGTAATGCTTGCTAATCAACATTCTTCTTGTCTATTTAATTTCTTGTCTATATATATATATATATATATATATATATATATATATGACATCGTTTTATTTTTCTTTATAAAAATATATACATTCCATACTTATTCATGTTTTTGAGTTTCAGGTTCCAATGTTAAAGCCAAAGGATGTTGTGAAGTAAACAATTACGGTCTATGCATTCCTGGGGAAACTCCATGTCTTTCTAGGAATTTGAAATTCATGTGGGATGGATTTCATCCTTCAGAAGCTTCCAACAAGATCACTGGAGGATTATCATATCTCACTTTGAAGGAAATCCTATAAATTTTTGAAATGTTAC